CCTAATATTTATTTTTTATCGCTATACAGACTTTTTATATTTTATTTATCAAAGGCTACGTGTTTTGTAAAAAAACATATGATCGTTAACTTACTGCAGATTGTATAAAGGAATTAATAAATATAATTTTCTTTTTTGGACCCAGTATAAACATATTCTCTAGTTCAACGATAGTTTCACAGCTTTCTTCGCAAAGATTGACATCATTTATTACGATTCTACAAAGCGATAACGTTAATAATTTATTGAAACATAATTAACGTAATTTTAAAAATAACGTACTTATCCATAATAAATTGCCAGTGTCCTTTCCGACTAATAGGAATATATGTGAAATCGCCCTCGTAATGAGCAGGATCGGAACCACCCAATGTCAGTTTACCACCTAACTCGGCTGAAGTGTTTCTACATAAATTGCATATATTTATATCGTAACATGTATGAATGTATGTGATAATTAAGATTAAATTATATTTAATATAAAAATATAAATATTATTTTAATTTAAAATATTGTAATAATACAGAAATAATAAAAAATTAATTTTAAAATAAATTAATATTAAAATAAATATAAATATACATAGAAATGTAAAATATATGTATATATGTAATATTTATTTAATAAAAATTCTTGTTTAGAGATACGTATTGTTCGTAAGTAGAGAAGATATGTACCTATTTAGATAAAAACTGAAAATGGGTGATGATATTAGACCTTGCATTCATGTTGTCTAAGAGAGGCGTTACTCTATTGACAAATGTGTCGGAATATCCCAGGCCTAAGATACCATCAACTGGTGCATAATGAAATAAACGTTTTAAGATTGACGCTTGGTGGTTGCTCACTTCTATAAATGTTTGATTTTGAACATTCAGGCCGGCAACCTGAACAAAAAATGTATTGAAAAATTATGTCGTCATCGCCGTACGAAAAAACAATATGATTGCATAAGAAATGTTTAAATTACGATTATAGTTATAACTGAATTGGCGTGTTTAATGATGACTTACATTCACTATATCAGTAGATAGGAATCCTTCCATATGGTAATTGAAATATTTCATATGAAATGAAGTATTATTTGCTATATATGTTTTGGATTTTGTACTATCATATCGATTACGACTTACTGTAAAGCATTCAGTAATATCACAAATTAGTAACATTAGAAAGATTTTAAATACATACACACATTAAGAAGACAATCTGTCTCTCTCTCTCTCCCCCCCCCTCTCCCTCTCTCTCTTCTCATGATGTTGTCTTATTAATTTATAATAAATATACAATTTTCTTTCATAAAGTATTATATATGTTTAGGAATCATTACATATATAAATATTTTTGTCGAGTTATCAATCATCACTGTTTATCAAAACTTGTTTTTATTTTTAGAGAATGAACGTGATAAATTGTTTAAATTAATTTATGCATGCAAATTCCAAAATTTACCTTTGTAATATCTATGCTATAATATTAAGTGTTAAATTTGTATATCTATTATTAATATCTAAAATGTTCTAAGATTATATTTAAAAATATAATAGTAGATAATATACATATGTATATATGTATGTATGTATATATATATATATATATATATATATATATATTATTATTATTATTATTATTATTATTATTATTATTACATACATGTATATATGAATAAATTACTTACCACATGCATGGATTTTTTTGCACTTTTTGGAGAATATCCAAAGATTTGCATAACCAGTATCAAATATCACTCTAAATGTTTGCGGGGGAGTTCCAATGGTAATATTGCCATAGTACTTTATATTTTTATAATTGGATAAAAGTACTGAAGGAAGATTATCATTCAATGAACGAACTTTTCGTAAGTCGATATCAATTTCTTTCGAAGGTTGCTGAATGGAATTCCTTTTGTGCAATTAAATCATGAAATAATATAAAGAACATACTGTGATATATATATATATATATATATATATATATATATATAAACTTGCAAGCATATATGTATAAAATAAATTTATTATATTTATTTGATATGACTAGCAGATATTTTCAGATCGAATATAAATCATGAAAGTTTACATAAATTTTCAACATCTCAGAAATCAACTATAAACTTACATATTTACAATATAAGTACATTACGCACTTACATGTAATTATATCAGAAATTTATGAATTCGATGATCTTTCTAAATTATATGATCCTCATATTACATATACATCTCTAAAATATTACATATTTAATTTGCATCCCAGTCTTATATAAATCATATAAACGAACATTAATTTATTAACAAGAATTGTGCATGTAATTTCGCACAAAGAAATAATTTAAAAAGAAGTAACTGTGTCAAAGCAACAACTGCGTATTAAAAACAGGATACAGAGAACGTCAAGTAAAAAAATAATACAAAACAACTCATTATACCTATAGTCCGACCTAACGCGTGTAAATAACTCACAATTAAGTGATTTGACCTCCAAATCACAATATTTATGTCAACGTCGTCGTTTAAATATAGGTAAAATCAAAGTGGACAAAAGCGAACGGTATAAAATAACAAAGAGAATTACTTTCTCAAAAATATTCTTCTTTTATCTTTGACTAATAAATAAAAATATACGTTTGACCAAAGAAATTTTATTCAATTTGTGTCGAAGAATTATTTGCATTTGCACTAGCTACGCATTTAATCCAAGAAATCGGATGCGATTACGAGAAAAAAATCGATCTCTTGATCTTTATTGCCAATATATAATATATTATAAAATATATACTGACCTGTCCACATATGCGTCCGTCGTCACAAAAAGCGCTGTTACTATCACAAAAAGGCGAAACATATTTCTGAATTTATTTACTACTGAAACCTCAATTCGTGAAAATTTCAATCTCGAGTTTCTTTCGACACTTTATTACCAGATACTGAAAAATAAAGTGATGTCGCTTACTAAACATTCCTCTTAACACTGTATCGATATTCGAGCACAATGTTATATATGATATCGCGTGCCCCTATGATTGCTTGAACAGGGAGAGAACGCGCGAAATTCGAAAAATCATGATAGATTTCCATCGATCAATTTAATTTAAATATATTACATATTTTGCATGATTGTGCATCGTTAATTAAGAACATTTATTTTCTTAAATTCATTATTAATAATAAAAAACAATTCTTTCGAAAGAACATTATTTATATCAATTAGACAGACAATCGCGAATCATTAATTTTACGGTAGATAATTTTCAAAAAGTAATATTTGATCAAAATTTTTTTATCTAATTCTGTGTGGATAAATTATATAATTGTAAACCATTTTATTTTATGAAGTTTTTAGGTTTTTAAAGAGGAAAGGAAATATACATTATCTTGAAATATATATTATATATATATTTGAATATCCATTAATTTCATCATTTTTGCTATGAACTTGTTATGTTAACTTAGGGATAATATTAATATGGGTATTTTAGCCTTAAAAAAAAAATACTCTACAAAACTTATAAATCTATACTATATATATACATCTATTCTATCATATAATAGGTAAATTTGAAGAAAATGCAACAATATAAAATTTATGAAAGATATATTAAATCTCTAATAAGGAAACAAATTTTTTTTTAAATATGTGAATAATTTCTCGAAACAAGATAATTTTCAATAGTAAGAAACATTATTATGAAGATAATTTAAATATATTATAAAAATCAATGTATAATTAAATAACATATAATAAATAAATTATAGGATAAAAAATTGTAATTTCTTTTATTATTAAAACAAATATTTGTTAAGTATATAATTGAGTATATTAATTGTGATAATTGTTAATATTATTTGTTATAATAAATCGATCATTAAAAGCTAAATTCAATATTTATCGCATCGATATGTAACGGACACATACGTTACAATGTATACTCGTATATGAACTTATCTTTAGTTTCCGTGACGATCAACACGAAAAGCGTCACGGTCACCACGAGCCAGCGAAAGCGATGGTTTTAAAATTTCTGACAAGTTTCTTTCTGTACTCAGTTACTAGAGATCTCGTTTATCGACATGCAAACTATATATACAATTGCGGGTATTAGAAACACAGATCCTAACGATCAATCAAATTTAAAAATATTAATTTATTTAACATTTTTTTAATTAACACAAATTGTATTAAAATAAATAATTAAATATGTGCATGATTGATGAGGAAGCAATCAATATTTCGGAAGAATATATTATGTCGATTAGACAACCTTGAAAAATCAACTTAGCAAGTCATACGTTGTTCGCAAAAATTAGCATTCTAATTAGCAATAAGCTCATATCAGTTGCTTTCAATAAAATAATGGACTGTTGAAAATTAAGACACAATTATGTACAAATTATGCAAAAATTAATATTAGTACATACATACGAATAGATATACGATTGTTGGTTGGCGATTGGAAAAGATTGAATTTTTTTTCTTATCAAAAACTAAACAAATAATTTAAAAGATAGATAATAAAATACATATGGAAATATGACTTAGAAAGATTAATTATATATTTTGATGAATTCTTGTTTTGTTTTGGGACATAATCGGGCGTCGTCTTTTTGAAAAATTAAGATTTTTAATTATTCTACATTCTGTTTTATTTACTAAAGTAAAAATTGTATAGTCACTTTGCCTTTTGATCATTTGTGTCTACATATATGTACATTATATAATATATAACTCTTTGTGTATATTATATAATTATATATTATATAATTGTGTATATTATATAATTATATATTATATAATTGTGTATATTATATAATATATAATTTTTTGCATGTATAACTCTTTGTTTGATGAATGTTTTTGTAGATTAAAACAAAAATTGAGATATGCACAGTCTTCGAATACATTTACATATTTCGTTAAGTTTGAATAATTATTATGAAAGTTATGTTAATTATATAAAATAATATTTTATAAAATTCTTTTAATTCAAGACTATTGTGACTTATTCAAAACCTACAGAATATGCTATCAAATGTACATAAATGCACATTATGTATATTTTTATTTTGTAAGATGTATATTTTTGAAAAATGCTAGAGAAAATAGTTAATATTTATTTCGCCAAAGCAAATCCTACTCGATTATTTTTCATATCAAATTCGGTGTAGTAGCGGCCAATAAAACTACTGCCTAGAATCCATTTTATTCCAGGTATCTTTAATCCCAGAAAGCCGCACGTACATATAGTTTCATTAGTAATAACATCTAAGTGCTGTACGGAATTAAATATACAATGTAAACTTCTTATACTTAAATAATTTAAACAATTTACCTATATTACTTACCTGAAAGATGTAATCTTTACTGGTAAGATTGAATGCCTTATCACCCGAAATAAATTGGATTGTAGGTAACTCAGAAATTTGACTGCAGTTCACCTATATACAAAGTATAATATTAAATTAATAATTAATAATATTTAATAAATATATTAAGTGCATTTAACCGAAACGTGAATTAATATCACTATATTAACTTTCTATATTTTATTTATCAAAAACTACATGTTTTGTGTAGGAAAGATATAATTGTTTACTTACTATTTCCTCTCCATGCAAATTATTAGTTCCAATAAGTTCATTAATAAATCTGATATCTTTTTCTGGTCCAATTATTATAGCAGCATCTGTTTCAATGATAGTTTCACAGCTTTTTTTGCACAGATTGATATTATTTATTACGATTCTACAAAGCGATAACGTTAATAATTTATTGAAACGTAATTAACGTATTTTAAAAACTAACGTACTTATCCATGTTAAATTGCCAGTATCCTTTCTGACTAATAGGAATATATGTTAAATGGCCATCGTAATGAGCAGAATCGGAACCACCCAATGTCAATTTACCACCTAACTCGACTGAAGTGTCTCTGCACAAATTGCATACTTTTTATATATACGTATGTATGTATATGATAATTAAGATTAAATTATATTTAATATAAAAATATAAATATTATTTTAATTAAAAAATTGTAATAATATAGAAATAATAAAAATTTAATTTTAAAATAAATTAATATTAAAATAAATATAAATATACATACAGATGTAATATATATGTATATATATAATATTTATTTAATAAAAATTCTTGTTTAGAGATATGTATTGTTCTTAAGTAGAGAAGATATGTACCTATTTAGATAAAAACTGAAAATGGGTGATGATACCAGACCTTGTGCAATCATGTTGTCGAAGACAGGCGTTACTCTATGGACAGATTTGCTGGAATAACCCAAGCCTAAGATACCATCAAATGGTACAGAATCAAATAAATTGTTTGAAATGTCGCTCACTTCTACAAATGTTTGATTCTGAACAATGAGGCCGGCAATCTAAATAAAATTTGTGTTGAAATAATATATCGTTATCGCCGAACGAAAAAACAATATAATTGCTTAAGAAATGTTTAAATTACGATAGTTGTAACTAAATTGGTTTGTTTAATGATGACTTACATTCACTATATCAGTAGATAGGACTCCTTTTATATCATAATCGAAGTATTTCATATGAAATAAAGAACTATTTGCTATATATGTGCTGGATTTTGTACTATCATATTGATTATGTTTTACTGTAAGGCATATTCAATAATATCACAAATTAGCAATATTAGAAAGAATTAAAAAAATATATATATATTTTTCAAACCTATATGTGTGTGTGTGTGTGTGTGTGTGTGTGTGTGTGTGTGTGTGTGTGTGCGTGTGTGTAGTTTTATTGGTCATTTATTAAATAATTTTCATTTAATCAGTATCGTTCTTTAGGAAAACATTTAGGAACACACACAGATACACAAACACACGCAAGCACACATACACACACAAATATATTATTGCGTATATGTATATACAAATAAATTACAACAAACAGAGATGTTGCATCTTTTAGAGAATATCCAAAGATTTGAGGAACCAATACCAAATTCCACTCTAAATGTTTGTGGCGGAGTTCCAATGGTAATATTGCCATAGTACTTTATGTTTTCATAATTGGATAAAAGTACTGAAGGAAGATTATCATTCAATGAACGAACTTTTCGTAAGTCGATATCAATTTTTTTCGAAGGTTGCTGAATGGAATTCCTTTTGTGCAATGAAATCATGAAATAATATAAAGAACATTCCGTGATATATATATATATATATATATATATATATATATATAAAAACTTGCAAACATATATGTATAAAATAAATTTATCACATTTATTTGATATGACTAACAGATATTTTCAGACCCAATATAAATCATGAAAGTCTACATAAATTTTCAACATCTTAGAAATCAATTATAAAGTTACATATTTACCATAAAGGTACATTATGTATTTAATGTAATTATATCAGAAATTTATTATTTATTCGATGATCTTTCTAAATTATATGATCCCCATATTACATATACACATTTCTAAAGTAATATTTAATTTGTATCCCAGTCTTATATAAATCATATAATTTAACGGATATTAATTTTTTATTAATGAGAATTGTGCATGTAATTTTATACAAAGAAGTAATTTGAAAAGAAGTAATTGTGTCAAAGCAACAACTGTGTAATAAAAATAGGATACAGAGAATGTCAAGTAAACAAATAATACAAAAGAACTCATTATACCTTATAATCGGATCTAATGCGTGTAAATAACTCACAATTAGGTGATTTAACCTCCAATCACAATATTTATGTCAATGTCGTCGTTTAAATATAGGTAAAATCAAAGTGGACAAAAACGAACGTTACGAAAGAACAAAGAGAATTACTTTTCAAAAATATTCTTCTCTTATCTACTCTTTGACTAATAAATAAAAATATACGTTTTGACCAAAGAAATTTTATCCAATTTGTGTCGAAGCATTATTTGCATTTGCACTAGCTACGCATTTATCCAAGAAATCGGATGCGATTACGAGAAAAAAATCGATCTCTATAATCTTGATCTTTATTGCTAATATATAATATATTATAAAATATATACTGACCTGTACAAATGCGCCATTATAACCAAATCGGCCGTTACAAGGAGCATCATTGCTACCACAAAAAGACGAAATTTTTCCGAATTTATTTACAATTTAAATCTCAATTCGTGAAAATTTGAACGTCGAGTTTCTTTGGACACTATATGACCAGATATACAGAAAAATAAAGTGATGTCGCTTACTAATACTTCTCTTAACACTGTATAGATTTTCGAACACAGCGTTATATATGTATATGATCGCGTGCCCCTATGTTGATTGCTTGAAATGATTGGAAGAAAACGCGCGAAACATTCAAAAAACCCTAATAGGTTTCCATCGATCAATTTAATTTAAATATATCATATTTTGCATGATTGTGTATCCTTATTAAAGAACATTTATTTTCTAAATTCATTATTAATAATAAAAAACAATTCTTTCGAAAGAACATTTGTTCGAAATTCATAAAATTATTTCCGGTTTAAAATTGCATTAGTTAAAATCCGCATTCTTTCGATATTAAAAGTTCGACAATTTGAAATTAACGGGCGTCAAAAAACTTCTCGAATTATCTAATTGTCTGAAAAACTAAACCGTCCGCGTTATCTCTAGCTTTTTTCGCCGCATAAGAAACGCTCGTTATAAACATTTGGCGAAACAATACCAACCAGCAAAGTTAGCGCAGCACACGGGCATGCGCGCTCATACGTCATAATCGAACGTCGTCTTTTTGAAAAATTAAGATTTTTAATTATTCCACATTCTTCTTTATTTATTTATTTATTAAAATAAAAATTGTACGTTCACTTTCCCTTTTGTTCATTTGTGTCTACATATATATATATTGTCTCTTATGTGTATATATAAAACTTTTATAATTTTTATACATTTATATATTTATATTTTATGAAATATACTGTTACTGATATTTATACTTATACACGCTATTATCTTATTTACATATCTTATCAAATATATCTAATTATATTATATAATTATATTACATAATTATATTATATAATTATATAGTAATACATATTATTGATAAATATTATCTTGTTTCATTGCGTAATAATGAATAAACTCGTCAAAGTGTACAGTTTGAGCAACAGTAGGTCTGCATACGTTAACGCAATAAAAATTACGTCGTTCTTTTTAATTATAATTTATTTTTGACATGAGTGATATGATAGTAAGAAAAGTTATTTAGATTAATGATATTACAATTGTTCCAAGAGGATGATAATATATTTGATATAAACTTAATTGTTTTAAAACTTAAAGAAGTGAATCGATATGAAACCATATCGAATCATTACAATTAACGAAAATATATGTTATATATCACTCTTCATTTGATGAATGTTTTTGTAAACTTTTAAAAAAGAAGTTAAAGATATATACAGTCTTCAAATACGTTTAAATATCTCATTAATAATCTCATTTGTTATGAACAATTATTATGAAAGTAATGTTAGCTATCTAAAAATATAATAATATTTTGTACCCAATTTTAATCCAGGACTATGTGAAACTCACAAAATATGCCACCAAATGTACATAAATGCACATTATGTACATTTTTATTATGTAAGATGTATAAAAAGATGTTTAAAACGTGCTAGAGAAAATAGTTAATATTTATTTGGCCAAAGCAAATCCCAATCGATTATTCTTCATATCAAACTCGATGTAGTAGCGACTAATAAAGATACTACCTAATATCCAATTTATATCATCCCTGTCAAACCGGTTCACAACGCCGCTTAGACATATAGTTTTATTTAAATAATGCTGTACAGAATTAAATATAAAATGTAAACTTCTTATACTTAAATAATTTAAACAATTTAGCTATAGTTAGCTATACTTACCGGGAACATGTAATCTTTACTGGTGAGATTAAATGCTTTACCACCCAAAATAAATTGGATTGTAGGTAACTGAGAAATTTGATCGCAATCCATCTTTAAAAAAAGGATAAAATCGAATTAGTAATTAATAATAGTTAATAAATATATTAAGTAAGTTTAATCGAAACGTAGGTTAATATCGTTGTTTTTTGAAGTTTATGTTTTATTTGAACGTACCTAATATTTATTTTTTATCGCTATACAGACTTTTTATATTTTATTTATTAAAGGCTACGTGTTTTATAAAACATATGATCGTTAACTTACTGAAGTTTGTATAAGTGTATCAATAAATGTAATATTCTTTCTTGGTCCCATTATAAACCTATTCTCTAGTTCAATGATAGTTTCACAGCTTTCACCGCAAATATTGATATCATTTATTAGTATTCTGCAAAGCGATAACGTTAATAATTTATTGAAATATGATTAACGTAATTAAAAAAATAACGTACTTATCCATAATAAATTGCCAGTGTCCTGTCCGACTAATAGGAATATATGTGAAATCGCCCTCGTAAAGAGCAGAATCGGAACCACCCAATGTCAGTTTACCACTTAACTCGGCTGAAGTATCTCTGCACAAATTGCATACATTTATATCGTAATATGTATGTATGTATGTGATAATTAAGATTACATTATATTTAATATAAATATATAAATATTATTTTAATTTATAATATTGTAATAATACAGAAATAATAAAAATTTAATTTTAAAATAAATTAAAATAAATATAAATATACATACAGATGTAATATATATGTATATATGTAATATTGATTTAATAAAAATTTTTGTTTAGAGATATTATTCGTAATTAGAGAAGATATGTACCTATTTAGATAAAAACTGAAAATGGGTGATGATACCAGACCTTGTGCAATCATGTTGTCTAAGAGAGGCGTTTCTCTATCGACAGATATGTCGGAATATCCCAGACCTAAGATACCATCAACTGGTGCATAAAGAAATAAACGTTCTACGATTGACACTTGATGGTTGCTCACTTCTATAAATGTTTGATTTTGAACATTCAGGCCGGCAATCTAAATGAAATATATATTAAAAAATTATGTCGTCGTACGAAATCACAATATGATTGCATAAGGAATGTTTAAACTACGATTATAGTTGTAACTGAATTGGCTTGTTTAATGATGACTTACATTCACTATGTCAGTAGATAGGAATCCTTCTATATGGTAACCACCGGAATATTTCATATGAAATGAAGTATTACTTGCTATATATGTACTGGATTTTGTACTATCATATCGATTACGTTTTACTGTAAAGCATATTCAGTAATCACAAATTAGCAAAATTAAAAAGATTTTAAATACATACACACACATTAATAAGACAATCTCTCTTTCGCCCTCCCTCCCTCTCTCCCTCTCCCTCCCACTACCCCCTCTCTCTCTCTCTGTTTATCTTTTTATGTTGTTGTCTTATTAATTTATAATAAATATACAATTTTCTTTCATAAAGCATTATATATGTGTAGGAATCATTACATATATAAATATTTTTGTCAAGTTATCAATCACCACTGTTTATCAAAATTTGTTTGTATTTTTTCAGAGAATGAATGTGTTAAATTGTTTAAATTAACTTATGCATGCAAATTCCAAAATTTGCTGATGTAATATTTACACTATAACATTAAGTGTTAAATTTGTATCTACTTTACTTATTTTTAAAATGTTTCAAGACTTATATTTGAAGAATTTAATAGTAGATGATACACATATGTATGTATGTATGTATGTATGTATATATATATATATTATTACATACGTGTATATATAAAAAAATTACTTACAACAAGCAGGACTGTTGCATTTTTTGGAGAGTATCCAAAGATTTGGAGAACCAATGTCAAATATCACTCTAAATGTTTGCGGGGGAGTTCCAATGGTAATATTGCCATAGTACTTTATGTTTTTATAATTGGATAAAAGTACTGAAGGAAGATTATCATTCAATGAACGAACTTTTCGTAAGTCGATATCAATTTTTTTCGAAGGTTGCTGAATGGAATTCCTTTTGTGCAATTAAATCATGAAATAATATAAAGGTCATACTGTGATATATATATATATATATATATATATATATATATATATATAAACTTGCAAACATATATGTATAAAATAAATTTATTATATTTATTTGATATGACTAGCAGATATTTTCAGATCCAATATAAAGCATGAAAGTCTACATAAATTTTTAACATCTCAGAAATCAACTATAAATAACTTACATATTTACAATATAAGTATATTACGCACTTACATGTAATTATATCAGAAATGTATGAATACAATGATCTTTCTAAATTATATGATCCTCATATTACATATACATCTCTAAAGTAATATTTAATTTGTACCTCAGTCTTATATAAATCATATAACTTAACGGACATTAATTTATTATTACCAAGAATTGTGCATGTAATTTCACACAAAGAAATAATTTAAAAAGAAGTAACTGTGTCAAAGCAACAACTGTGTATTAAAAATAGGAGAATGTCAAGTAAAAAAATAATACAAAACAAGTCATTATATTAAGTTCGATCTAATGCGTGTAAATAACTCACAATTAGGTGAGTTGACCTCCAATCACAATATTTATGTTAACGTCGTCGTTTAAAAATAAATAAAATCAATGTGGACAAAAATGAACGTTACGAAAGAACAAAGAGAATTACTTTTCAAAAATATTCTTCTCTTATCTACTCTTTGACTAATAAATAAAAATATACGTTTTGAAATTGACGTTTTAATAAAGAAATTTTATCCAATTTGTGTTGAAACATTATTTGCATTTGCACTAGCTACGCATTTAATCCAAGAAATCGGATGCGATTACGAGAAAAAAATCGATCTCTATAATCTTGATCTTTATTGCCAATATATAATATATTATAAAATATATACTGACCTGTCCACATATGCGTCGGACGTCATAAAAAGCGCCATTGCTACTACAAAAAGGTGAAACATAATTCTGAATTTATTTACTATTGAAATCTCGATTCGTGAAAATTTGATCGTCGAATTTCGTTCGACACTATATGATTAGATACACAGAAAAATAAAGTGATGTCGCTTACTAATACTTCTCTTAACACTGTATCGATTTTCGAACACAGCGTTATATATGTGTATGATCGCGTGCCCCTATGTTGATTGCTTGAACGGGGAGAAAACGCGCGAAACATTCGAAAAATCCTAATAGATTTCCATCGATCAGTTTAATGTAAATATATCATATTTGACATGATCATGTACCTTTAATTAATTACGTTTATTTACATAAGTTTATGATTAATAATAAAAAACATTTCTTTCGAAAGAACATTTGTTCGAAATTCATAAAATTATTCCGGTTCAAAATTGCATTAGTTAAAATCCGCATTCTTTCGGTATTAAAAGTTCGAAAATTTGAAATTAACGGGTGTCGAGAAACTTCTCGAATTATCTATTTGTCTGAAAAATTAAACCGTCCGTGTTATCGCTTTTTTCGCCGCATAAGAAACGCTCGTTATAAACATTTGGCAAAATAATGTCAACTAGCAAAGTTAGCGCAGCGCACGGGCATGCGCGCCCATACGTTACGATCAGTTGATTGCCAATCAGCTGATCGAAAAAAATCGTGCGCATGACGACTGTAAAAATCTCAACGCCAGATCTCATCGGCGACCAATTGTACGCGGCGCCATAAGATCAGCGCTAAAATATAAAATTCATTGGTCCACGTCGCAACGGGCCCAAAATTCCGTTCGCTATATAATGGGCACCGCGCGTGGACCCCTCTTGCACTTTTCGAAGTCTCGCACTTTTCGCTATTGTTGAACCGCTTAGTAAAACTGCTCGCTTTGTTAAATCGCTCTGTTACAGTACCGGCCAGAATTATATCACATTTTGGTTTTTTGAGTATAACTTTCGTTAAAGTGCATCGAATACGCTAAATATTTTACAGTTGTTTTCATTAATTTAAGAAAAGTTATTTCTTCAATAAGCTATACTTACTATCAAAACATGTCATGATTTGATAAAGATCCGTGCACTTTAAAACAATATACTCAAAAAACCAAAATGTGATATAATTTTGGCCGGTACTGTAAACGCTATTCCGTTATACGACCGCATACTCACACGGATTTTTGCATATCTCTCTTTTTGTTAAACCGCTGATCAAATGCCTTATAACGACCGCTATTTCGACAACGATTAACCGATTACGGATCCGAAAACGCTAAGTCCGCTGAACCGCTCCTGGCATTGTGTACGAAAACCTCCTGCACTGTGTTGCAACGCTCGTTGTCGCGAATCGCAATCACTACACTGAACACTTGTCATTTTTAATTTTTGATCAAAAATTAAACAAATAATTTAAAAGATAGATAATAAAATACATAATGAAATATGACGTAGAAAGATTATTTATATATTTTGATGAATTTTTGTTTTGATTTGGAACATAATCGAGCGTCCTATTTTTGAAAAATTAAGATTTTTAATTATTCCACATTCTTTTTTATTTATTTATTTATTAAATATTTATAAAAATTGTACATTCACTTTCCCTTTTGTTCATTTGTGTCTACATATATGTACTGCCTCTTATGTGTATATATAAAACTTTTATAATTTTTATACATTTATATATTTATATTTTATGAAATATACTGTTACTTATATTTATACTTATACACGCTATTATCTTATTTACATATCTTATCAAATATATCTAATTATATTATATAATTATATTACATAATTATATTATATAATTATATAGTAATACATAGTATTGATAAATATTATCTTGTTTCATTGCGTAATAATGAATAAACTCGTCAAAGTGTACAGTTTGAGCAACAGTAGGTCTGCATACGTTAACGCAATAAAAATTACGTCGTTCTGTTTAATTATAATTTATTTTTAACATGAGTGATATGATAGTAAGAAAAGTTATTTAGATTAATGATATTACAATTGTTCCAAGAGGATGATACTATATTTGATATAAACTTAATTGTTTTAAAACTTAAAGAAGTTATGAAACCATATCGAATTATTACAATTACATTAACGAAAATATATGTTATATATCACTCTTCATTTGATGAATGTTTTTGTAAACTTTTAAAAAAGAAGATAAAGATATATACAGTCTTCAAATACGTTTAAATATCTCATTAATAATCTCATTTGTTATGAACAATTATTATGAAAGTAATGTTAGCTATCTAAAAATATAATAATATTTTGTACCCAATTTTAATCCAGGACTATGTGAAACTCACAAAATATGCCAGCAAATGTACATAAATGCACATTATGTACATTTTTATTATGTAAGATGTATAAAAAGATGTTTAAAACGTGCTAGAGAAAATAGTTAATATTTATTTGGCCAAAGCAAATCCCAATCGATTATTCTTCATATCAAACTCGATGTAGTAGCGACTAATAAAGATACTACCTAATATCCAATTTATATCATCCCTGTCAAACCGGTTCACAACGCCGCTTAGACATATAGTTTTATTTAAATAATGCTGTACAGAATTAAATATAAAATGTAAACTTCTTATACTTAAATAATTTAAACAATTTAGCTATAGTTAGCTATACTTACCGGGAACATGTAATCTTTACTGGTGAGATTAAATGCTTTACCACCCAAAATAAATTGGATTGTAGGTAACTGAGAAATTTGATCGCAATCCATCTTTAAAAAAAGGATAAAATCGAATTAGTAATTAATAATAGTTAATAAATATATTAAGTAAGTTTAATCGAAACGTAGGTTAATATCGTTGTTTTTTGAAGTTTATGTTTTATTTGAACGTACCTAATATTTATTTTTTATCGCTATACAGACTTTTTATATTTTATTTATTAAAGGCTACGTGTTTTATAAAACATATGATCGTTAACTTACTGAAGTTTGTATAAGTGTATCACTAAATGTAATATTCTTGCTTGGTCCCATTATAAACTTATTCTCTAGTTCAATGATAGTTTCACAGCTTTCACCGCAAATATTGATATCATTTATTAGTATTCTGCAAAGCGATAACGTTAATAATTTATTGAAATATGATTAACGTAATTAAAAAAATAACGTACTTATCCATAATAAATTGCCAGTGTCCTGTCCGACTAATAGGAATATATGTGAAATCGCCCTCGTAAAGAGCAGAATCGGAACCACCCAATGTCAGTTTACCACTTAACTCGGCTGAAGTGTCTCTGCACAAATTGCATACATTTATATCGTAATATGTATGTATGTATGTGATAATTAAGACTACATTATATTTAATATAAATATATAAATATTATTTTAATTTAAAATATTGTAATAATACAGAAATAATAAAAATTTAATTTTAAAATAAATTAAAATAAATATAAATATACATACAGATGTAATATATATGTATATATGTAATATTGATTTAATAAAAATTCTTGTTTAGAGATATTATTCGTAATTAGAGAAGATATGTACCTATTTAGATAAAAACTGAAAATGGGTGATGATACCAGACCTTGTGCAATCATGTTGTCTAAGAGAGGCGTTTCTCTATCGACAGATATGTCGGAATATCCCAGACCTAAGATACCATCAACTGGTGCATAAAGAAATAAACGTTCTACGATTGACACTTGATGGTTGCTCACTTCTATAAATGTTTGATTTTGAACATTCAGGCCGGCAATCTAAATGAAATATATATTAAAAAATTATGTCGTCATCGTCGTACGAAATCACAATATGATTGCATAAGAAATGTTTAAACTACGATTATAGTTGTAACTGAATTGGCTTGTTTAATGATGACTTACATTCACTATGTCAGTAGATAGGAATCCTTCCATATGGTAACCACCGGAATATTTCATATGAAATGAAGTATTACTTGCTATATATGTACTGGATTTTGTACTATCATATCGATTACGTCTTACTGTAAAGCATATTCAGTAATATCACAAATTAGCAAAATTAAAAAGATTTTAAATACATACACACACATTAATAAGACAATCTCTCTTTCGCCCTCCCTCCCTCTCTCCCTCTCCCTCCCACTACCCCCTCTCTCTCTCTCTGTTTATCTTTTTATGTTGTTGTCTTATTAATTTATAATAAATATACAATTTTCTTTCATAAAGCATTATATATGTTTAGGAATCATTACATATATAAATATTTTTGTCGAGTTATCAATCACCACTGTTTATCAAAATTTGTTTGTATTTTTTCAGAGAATGAACGTGTTAAATTGTTTAAATTAACTTATGCATGCAAATTCCAAAATTTGCTGATGTAATATTTACACTATAACATTAAGTATTAAATTTGTATCTACTTTACTAATTTTTAAAATGTTTCAAGACTTATATTTGAAGAATATAATAGTAGATGATACACATATGTATGTATGTATGTATGTACAATATGTATGTATGTATATATATATATATATATATATATATATATATATATATTATTACATACATGTATATATAAAAAAATTACTTACAACAAGCAGGACTGTTGCACTTTTTGGAAAGTATCCAAAGATTTGGGGAACCAATGTCAAATATCACACTAAATGTTTGCGGGGGAGTTCCAATGGTAATATTGCCATAGTACTTTATGTTTTTATAATTGGATAAAAGTACTGAAGGAAGATTATCATTCAATGAACGAACTTTTCGTAAGTCGATATCAATTTTTTTCGAAGGTTGCTGAATGTAATTCCTTTTGTGCAATTAAATCATGAAATAATATAAAGGACATACTGTGATATATATATATATATATATATATATATATATATATATAAACTTGCAAACATATATGTATAAAATAAATTTATTATATTTATTTGATATGACTAGCAGATATTTTCAGATCCAATATAAATCATGAAAGTCTACATAAATTTTTAACATCTCAGAAATTAACTATAAACTTATATATTTACAATATAAGTATATTACGCACTTACATGTAATTATATCAGAAATTTATGAATACAATGATCTTTCTAAATTATATGATCCTCATATTACATATACATCCGTAAAGTAATATTTAATTTGTACCTCAGTCTTATATAAATCATATAACTTAACGGACATTAATTTATTATTAACAAGAAATGTGCATGTAATTTCACACAAAGAAATAATTTAAAAAGAAGTAACTGTGTCAAAGCAATAACTGTGTATTAAAAATAGGAGAACGTCAAGTAAAAAATAATACAAAACAAGTCATTATACCTATAGTTCGACCTAATGCGTGTAAATAACTTACAATTAGCTGTTTGACCTCCAATCACAATATTTATGTCAACGTCGTCGTTTAAATATAGGTAAAATCAAAGTGGACAAAAACGAACGTTACGAAAGAACAAAGAGAATTACTTTTCAAAAATATTTTTCTCTTATCTACTCTTTGACTAATAAATAAAAATATACGTTTTGACCAAAGAAATTTTATCCAATTTGTGTCGAAGCATTATTTGCATTTGTACTAGCTACGGATTTATCCAAGAAATCGGATGCGATTACGAGAAAAAAATCGATCTCTATAATCTTGATCTTTATTGCCAATATATAATATATTATAAAATATATACTGACCTGTCCACATATGCGTCGGACGTCATAAAAAGCGATGTTGCTACTACAAAAAGGTGAAACATAATTCTGAATTTATTTACTATTGAAATCTCGATTCGTGAAAATTTGAACGTCGAATTTCGTTCGACACTATATGATTAGATACACAGAAAAATAAAGTGATGTCGCTTACTAATACTTCTCTTAACACTGTATCGATTTTCGAGCACAGTTATATATGTGTATGATCGCGTGCCCCTATGTTGATTGCTTGAACGGGGAGAAAACGCGCGAAACATTCGAAAAATCCTAATAGATTTCCATCGATCAGTTTAATTTAAATATATCATATTTGACATGATCATGTACCTTTAATTAATTACGTTTATTTACATAAGTTTATGATTAATAATAAAAAACATTTCTTTCGAAAGAACATTTGTTCGAAATTCATAAAATTATTCCGGTTCAAAATTGCATTAGTTAAAATCCGCATTCTTTCGGTATTAAAAGTTCGAGAATTTGAAATTAACGGGTGTCGAGAAACTTCTCGAATTATCTATTTGTCTGAAAAACTAAACCGTCCGTGTTATCTCACGCTTTTTTCGCCGCATAAGAAACGCTCGTTATAAACATTTGGCAAAACAATGTCAACCAGCAAAGTTAGCGCAGCGCACGGGCATGCGCGCCCATACGTCACGATCAGTTGATTGCCAATCAGCTGATTGAAAAAAATCGTGCGCATGACGACTGTAAAAATCTCAACGTCAAACCTCATCGGCGACCAATTGTACGCGGCGCCATGAGATCAGCGCTAATATATAAAATTCATTGATCCACGTCGCAACGGGCCCAAAATTCCGTTCGCTATATAATGGGCACCGCGCGTGGACCCCTCTTGCACTTTTCGAAGTCTCGCACTTTTCGCTATTGTTGAACCGCTTAGTAAAACTGCTCGCTTTGTTAAATCGCTCTGTTACAGTACCGGCCAGAATTATATCACATTTTGGTTTTTTGAGTATAACTTTCGTTAAAGTGCATCGAATACGCTAAATATTTTACAGTTGTTTTCATTAATTTATGAAAAGTTATTTCTTCAATAAGCTATACTTACTATCAAAACATGTCATGATTTGATAAAGATCCGTGCACTTTAAAACAATATACTCAAAAAACCAAAATGTGATATAATTTTGGCCGGTACTGTAAACGCTATTCCGTTATACAACCGCATACTCACACGGATTTTTGCATATCTCTCTTTTTGTTAAACCGCTGATCAAATGCCTTATAACGACCGCTATTTCGACAACGATTAACCGATTACGGATCCGAAAACGCTAAGTCCGCTGAACTGCTCCTGGCATTGTGTACGAAAACCTCCTGCACGGTGTGCAACGCTCATTGTCGCGAATCCCAATCACTACACTGAACACTTGTCATTTTTAACTGTAATAAAAATTTTTGACTGTAATAAAGTTCCGTCCTTCTTGTATAATCGAGGCACACTTTTCTCACTCAAAGACCTTCCTCTTCCACCGTTCACTGTCAGATTCGCTCGCGAACAACATTATTTATATCGACTAGACAAACAATCATTAATTTTACGATAGATAATTTTCAAAAACTTATATTTCATTAATCAACATTTTTTTTCTAATTCTGTGCGGATAAATTATATAATTGTAAACCATTTTATTTTATGAAGTTTTTAGGTTTTTAAACAGGAAAGGAAATATACATGATCAATATTGAAATATATACTTGAATATCCATTAATTTCATAATTTTTGCTATGATTTTTGCTTGTTATGTTAATTTAGGGATAATATTAATTTGGATATTTTAGCCCAAAATACTCTACAAAACTTATAACTATATAGATGTATACATCTATTCCATCGTATAATAGGTAAATTTGAAGAAAATGCAACAATATAAAATTTATGAAAGATATATTTAAACTCTAATAAGGAAACATATTTTTTTTAAATATGTGATTAATTTCTCGAAATAAGATAATTTTCAATAGTAAAAAACATTATTATGAAGATAATTTAAATACAATATATAAATCAATGTATAATAAAATAACATATAATAAACACATTATAGGATAAAAAATTGTAATTTCTTTTATTATTAAAGCAAATATTTGTTAAGCATATAATTGAGTATATTAATTGTGATAATTGTTAATATTATTTGTTATAATAAATCGATCATTAAATATTAAATTCAATATTTATCGCATTGAAATGTAACGGATACATACGATACAATGTATATATGAACTTATTTTTAGTTTCTGTGACGATCAACACGAAAAGCGTCACGGTCACCACGAGTAAGTGAAAGCGATGGTTTTAAAATTTCTGACAAGTTTCTTTCTGTATTCAGTTACTAGAGATCTCGTTTATCGACATGCAATTGCAAACTATATATACAATTGCGAGTATTAGAAACACAGATCCTATCGATCAATCAAATTTAAAAATATTAATTTATTTAACATTTTTTTAATTAACACAAATTGTATTAAAATAAATAATTAAATATGTGCATGATGAGGCAGCAATCAATAATTTGGAAGAATAGATTATATCAACTAAACAACCTTGGAAAATCAACTTATCAAGTCATACTTTGTTCACAAAAATTAGCATTATAATTAGCAATAAGCTCATATCAGTTGCTTTCAAAATAAAATATTGCGCTGTTGAAAATTAAGACACAATTATGTACAAATTATGCAAAAATTAATATTGATACATACATACGAATAGATATACAATTGTCGGTTGGCAACTGGAAAAGATTGCATTTTTTTCTTATCAAAAACTAAACAAATAATTTAAAAAATAGATAATAAAAGACATAAGGAAATATGACCTAGAAAGATTATTTATATATTTTGATAAAAATTTGTTTTGATTTTGGACATAATCAAGTGTCCTTTTTTTGAAAAATTAAGATTTTTAATTATTCCACATTCTTTTTTATTTATGTATTAAATATTTATAAAAATTGTACATTCACTTTCCCTTTTGTTCATTTGTGTCTACATATATGTATTGCCTCTTATGTGTATATATAAAACTTTTATAATTTTTATACATTTATATATTTATATTTTATGAAATATGTTATACTGTTACTTATATTTATACTTATACACGCTATTATCTTATTTACATATCTTATCAAATATATCTAATTATATTATATAATTATATTATATAATTATATTATATAATTATATAGTAATACATATTATTGATAAATATTATCTTGTTTCATTGCGTAATAATGAATAAACTCGTCAAAGTGTACAGTTTGAGCAACAGTAGGTCTGCATACGTTAACGCAATAAAAATTACTTCGTTCTTTTTAATTATAATTCATTTTTAACATGAGTGATATGATAGTAAGGAAAGTTATTTAAATTAATGATATTACAATTGTATTCTAAGAGGATGATACTATATTTGATATAAACTTAATTGTTTTAAAACTTAAAGAAGTCATGAAACCATATCGAATCATTACAACTACATTAACGAAAATATATGTTATATATCAATCTTCATTCGATAAATGTTTTTGTAGACGTTTAAAAAAGAAGTTAAAGATATATACAGTCTTCAAATACGTTTAAATATCTCATTAAGTATGTTATGAGCAATTATTATGAAAGTAATGTTAGATATCTAAAAATATAATAATATTTTGTACCCAATTTTAATCCAGGACTATGTGAAACTCACAAAATATGCCAGCAAATGTACATAAATGCACATTATGTACATTTTTATTATGTGAGATGTATAAAAAGATGTTCAAAAAGTGCTAGAGAAAATAATTAATATTTATTTCGCCAAAGCAAATCCCAATCGATTATTCTTCATATCAAATTCGATGTAGTAGCGTCTAATAAAGATACTGCCTAATATCCAATTTATATCATCCCTGTCAAAGTCCACAATACCGCTTCGACATGTAGTTTTATTAGAAATATCCTCATATAATCCCTACAGAATTAAATATAAAATGTAAACTTCTTATACTCAAATAATTTAAACAATTTAGCTATAGTACTTACCGGGTACATGTAATCTTTACTGGTGAGATTAAATGCTTCACCACCGAAAATAAATTGTATTGTAGGTAACTGAGAAATTTGATCGCAATCCATCTATAAAAAAAAGGATAAAATCATATTAGTAATTAATAATAATTAATAAATATATTAATCGAAACGTAGGTTAATATCGTTGTTTTATAGAAGTTTATGTTTTATATGAGCGTACTTAATATTTATTTTTATCGCTATACAGACTTTTTATATTTTATTTGTTAAATGCTACGTGTTTTGTAAAACATATGATCGTTAACTTACAAAAACTTGTATAAGTGTATCAATAAATGTAATATTTTTTCTTGGTCCCCATATAAACAAAGTCTCTATTGCAACAGTAGTTTCACCGCAGCTTTCTCCGCAAAGATTGGTATCATTTATTACTATTCTACAAAGCGATAACGTTAATAATTTATTGAAATATGATTAACGTAATTAAAAAAATAACGTACTTATCCATAATAAATTGCCAGTGTCCTGTCCGACTAATAGGAATATATGTGAAATCGCCCTCGTAATGAACAGGATCGGAATCACCCAATATCAGTTTACCACCTAATTCGGCTGAAGTGTCTCTGCACAAATTGCATACTTTTTATATATAATACGTATGTATGTATATGATAATTAAGATTAAATTATATTTAATATAATTATATAAATATATAAATTAATATAAATATATAAATATTATTTTAATTTAAAATATTACAGTAATAATACAGAAATAATAAAAATTTAATTTTAAAATAAATTAATATTAAAATAAATATAAATATACATACAAATGTATATATGTATATATGTAATATTTATTTAATAAAAATTCTTGTTTAGAGATATGTATTGTTCGTAATTAGAGAAGATATGTACCTATTTAGATAAAAACTGAAAATGGGTGATGATATCAGACCTTGTGCAATCATGTTGTCTAAGAGAGGCATTTCTGTATCGATAGATGTGTCGGAATATCCCAGGCCTAAGATACCATCAATTGGTGCATCAAGAAATAAACGTTCTATGATTGACACTGTATGGATACTCATTTCTATAAATGTTTGATTTTGAACATTCAGACCGGCAATCTAAATGAAATATGTATTGAAAAATTATGTCGTCATTGTCGTACGAAATCACAATATGATTGCATAAGAAATGTTTAAACTACTATTATAATTGTAACTGAATTGGCTTGTTTAATGATGACTTACATTCACTATATCAGTAGATAGGAATCCTTCCATATGGTAATTGAAATAATTCATATGAAATGAAGTATTACTTGCTATATATGTACTGGATTTTGTACTATCATATCGATTACGTCTTACTGTAAAGCATATTCAGTAATATCACAAATTAGCAAAATTAAAAAGATTTTAAATACATACACACACATTAATAAGACAATCTCTCTTTTTCCCTCCCTTCCCCCGACCCGACCCCACTCACGCCCTCCTCCTCCCTCTCTCCCACCCTTTCTACCTATCTCCCTCTCTCCCTCCCTACTTCTCTCTCTCTTTTACTCTCTCTCTTTCTCTCTCTCTCTTCTCATGTTGTTATCTTATTAATTTATAATAAATATACAATTTTCTTTCATAAATTATTATATATGTTTAGGAATCATTACATATAGAAATATTTTTGTCGAGTTATCAATCACCACTGTTTATCAAAATTTTTTGTATTTTCAGAGAATGAACGTGATAAATTGTTTAAATTAACTTATGCATGCAAATTCCAAAATTTGCTTATGTAATATTTACATTGTAATATTAACTGTTAAATTTGTATCTATTTTATTAATTTTTTAAATGTTTTAAGACTTATATTTGAGGAATATAATAGTAGATGATATACATGTGTATATATGTATGTATGTATGTATGTATATATACATATATATATATATATATATATATATATATATATATATAATTACATACATGTATATATAAACAAATTACTTACAACAAACAGAAACGTTGCATTTTTTGGAGAATATCCAAAGATGTGGGGAAACCATGTCAAATATCACTCTAAATGTTTGCGGCGGAGTTCCAATAGTAATATTGCCATAGTACTTCATGTTATTATAAATGGATAAAAGTACTGTAGGAAGATTATCATTCAATGAACGAACTTTTCGTAAGTCGGTATCAATTTTTTTCGAAGGTTGCTGAATGGAATTCCTTTTGTGCAATGAAATCATGAAATAATATAAAGAACATTCCGTGATATATATATATATATATATATATATATATATAAATTTGCAAACATATATGTATAAAATAAATTTATTATATTTATTTGATATGACTAGCAGATATTTTCAGATCCAATATAAATCATGAAAGTCTACATAAATTTTTAACATCTCAGAAATTAACTATAAACTTACATATTTACAATATAAGTATATTACGCACTTACATGTAATTATATCAGAAATTTATGAATACAATGATCTTTCTAAATTATATGATCCTCATATTACATATACATCCGTAAAGTAATATTTAATTTGTACCTCAGTCTTATATAAATCATATAACTTAACGGACATTAATTTATTATTAACAAGAAATGTGCATGTAATTTCACACAAAGAAATAATTTAAAAAGAAGTAACTGTGTCAAAGCAATAACTGTGTATTAAAAATAGGAGAACGTCAAGTAAAAAATAATACAAAACAAGTCATTATACCTATAGTTCGACCTAATGTGTGTAAATAACTTACAATTAGCTGTTTGACCTCCAATCACAATATTTATGTCAACGTCGTCGTTTAAATATAGGTAAAATCAAAGTGGACAAAAACGAACGTTACGAAAGAACAAAGAGAATTACTTTTCAAAAATATTCTTCTCTTATCTACTCTTTGACTAATAAATAAAAATATACGTTTTGACCAAAGAAATTTTATCCAATTTGTGTCGAAGCAGTATTTGCATTTGCACTAGCTACGGATTTATCCAAGAAATCGGATGCGATTACGAGAATAAAATCGATAATCTTGATCTTTATTGCTAATATATAATATATTATAAAATATATACTGACTTGTCCAAATGCGTCGTTATAACCAAATCAGTCGTTACAAGGAGCATCATTGCTACCACAAAAAGACGAAACATTTTTCCGAATTTATTTACAATTTAAATCTCGATTCGTGAAAATTTGAACGTCGAGTTTCTTTGGACACTATATGACCAGATACACAGAAAAATAAAGTGATGTCGTTTACTAATACTTCTCTTAACACTGTATAGATTTTCGAGCACAGCGTTATATATGTATATGATCGCGTGCCCCTATGTTGATTGCTTGAACGGGGAGAAAACGCGCGAAACATTCAAAAAACCCTAATAGGTTTCCATCGATCAATTTAATTTAAATATATCATATTTTGCATGATTGTGTATTCTTTATTAAGAACATTTATTTTCTTAAATTCATTATTAATAATAATAGAAAACAATTCTTTCAAAAGAACATTATTTATATCAATTAGACACACAATCACGAATCATTAATTTTACGGTAGATAATTTTCAAAAACTAATATTTCATTAATCAACATTTTTTTCTAATTCTGTGCGGATAAATTATATAATTGTAAACCATTTTATTTTATGAAGTTCTTAAGTTTTTAAAGTGGAAAGGAAATATACATAATCGTGAAATATATATTTGAATATCCATTAATTTCATCATTGTTGCTATGAACTTAGAGATAATATTAATTTGGATATTTTAGCCCAAAATACTCTACAAAACTTATAAATCTATACTATATATATGTATACATCTATTCCATCATATAATAGATAAATTTAAAGAAAATGCAACAATATACAATTTATGAAAGATATATTAAAACTAATAAGGAAACATATTTTTTTTAAACATATGATTAATTTCTCGAAATAAGATAATTTTCAATAGTAAAAAACATTATTATGAAGATAATTTAAATACATTATATAAATCAATGTATAATAAAATAACATATAATAAACACATTATAGGATAAAAAATTATAATTTTTTTTATTATTAAGGCAAATATTTGTTAAGCATATAATTGAGTATATGAATTGTGATAATTGATAATATTATTTGTTATAATAAATCGATCATTAAAAGCTAAATTCAATATTTATCGCATCGATATGTAACGGACACATACAATGTATATATTGTTACAATGTATATATGAACTTATCTTTAGTTTCTGTGACGATCAACATGAAAAGCGTCACCACGAGCCAGCGAAAGCAATGGTTTTAAAAATTCTGACAATTTTCTTTCTGTACTCAGTTACTAGAGATCTCGTTTATCGACATGCAATTGCAAACTATATATAAAATTGCGCGTATTAGAAACACAGATCCTAACGATCAATCAAATTTAAAAATATTAATTTATTTAACATTTTTTTAATTAACACAAATAGTATTAAAATAAATAATTAAATATGTGCATGATGAGGCAGCAATCAATAATTTGAAAGAATAGATTATATCAACTAAACAACCATGGAAAATCAACTTATCAAGTCATACTTTGTTCACAAAAATTAGCATTCTAATTAGCAATAAGCTCATATCAGTTGCTTTCAAAATAAAATATTGCGCTGTTGAAAATTAGGACACAATTATGTACAAATTATGCAAAAATTAATATTGATACAAACATACGAATAGATATACAATTGTCGGTTGACGATTGGAAAAGATTGAATTTTTTTCTTATCAAAAACTAAACAAATGATTTAAAAAATAGATAATAAAAGACATAAAGAAATATGACCTAGAAAGATTATTTATATATTTTGATAAATTTTTGTTTTGATTTGCGACATAGTCGAGCGTCTTCTTTTTGAAAAATTAAGATTTTTAATTATTCCACATTCTTTTTTATTTACTAAGATAAAAATTGTACATTCACTTTTCCTGTTGTTCATTTGTGTCTACATATATGTATTGTCTCTTATGTGTATATGTAAAACTTTTATAATTTTTATACATTTATATATTTATATTTTATGAAATATACTGTTACTTATATTTATACTTATACACGCTATTATCTTATATACATATCTTATCAAATATATCTAATTATAAAATTATATAATTATATTACATAATTATATTATATAATTATATAGTAATACATAGTATTGATAAATATTATCTTGTTTCATTGCGTAATAATGAATAAACTCGTCAAAGTGTACAGTTTGGGCAACAGTAGGTCTGCATACGTTAACGCAATAAAAATTACTTCGTTCTTTTTAATTATAATTCATTTTTAACATAAGTGATATGATAGTAAGAAAAGTTGTTTAGATTAATGATATTACAATTGTATTCTAAGAGGATGATACTATATTTGATATAAACTTAATTGTTTTAAAACTAAAGGACTCATGAAACCATATCGAATCATTACAACAACATTAACGAAAATATATGTTTTATATCAATCTTCATTCGATGAATGTTTTTGTAGACGTTTAAAAAAGAAGTTAAAGATATATACAGTCTTCAAATACGTTTAAACATCTCATTAATAATCTCATTTGTTATGAACAATTATTATGAAAGTAATGTTAGCTATCTAAAAATATAATAATATTTTGTACCCAATTTTAATCCAGGACTATGTGAAATTCACAAAATATGCCAGCAAATGTACATAAATGCACATTATGTACATTTTTATTATGTATGATGTATAAAATGATGTTTAAAAAGTGCTAGAGAAAATAGTTAATATTTATTTCGCCAAAGCAAATCCCAATCGATTATTCTTCATATCAAACTCGGTGTAGTAGCGACTAATAAAGATCCTGCCTAATACCCAATTTATTTCTTGCCTGTTAGTTTCCATAAAGCCGCATAGACATACAATTTCATTAGAAATATCCTCATCTAATGCCTACAGAATTAAATATAAAATGTAAACTTCTTATACTTAAATAATTTAAACAATTTAGCTATAGTACTTACCGGGAACATGTAATCTTTATTGGTGAGATTAAATGCTTTACCGCCCAAAATAAATTGGATTGTAGATAACTGAGAAATTTGTTCGCAATCCATCTATAAAAAAAAGGATAAAATCAAATTAGTAATTAATAATAGTTAATAAATATATTAATCGAAACGTAGGTTAATATCGTTGTTTTATAGAAGTTTATGTTTTATTTGAACGTACTTAATATTTATTTTTATCGCTATACAGACTTTTTATATTTTATTTATTAAAGGCTACGTGTTTTGTAAAACATATGATCGTTAACTTACATAAATTTGTATAAGTGTATTAATAAGTTTAATATTCTTTTTTGGTCCCATTATAAACAAAGTCTCCATATCAACAGTAGTTTCTCCGCAACTTTCTCCGCAAAGATTGGTATCATTTATTACTATTCTACAAAGCGATAACGTTAATAATTTATTGAAATATGATTAACGTAATTAAAAAAATAACGTACTTATCCATAATAAGTTGCCAGTGTCCTTTCCGACTAATAGGAATATATGTGAAATCGCCCTCGTAATGAACAGGATCGGAACCACCCAATATCAGTTTACCACCTAATTCGGCTGAAGTGTCTCTGCACAAATTGCATACTTTTTATATATACGTATGTATGTATATGATAATTAAGATTAAATTATATTTAATATAAAAATATAAATATTATTTTAATTTAAAATATTGTAATAATACGGAAATACTAAAAATTTGATTTTAAAATAAATTAATATTAAAATAAATATAAATATATATACAAATGTAATACATATGTATATATGTAACATTTATTTAATAAAAATTCTTGTTTAAAGATATGTGTTGTTCGTAAGTAGAGAAGATATGTACCTATTTAGATAAAAACTGAAAATAGGAGATGACACTAGACCTTGTGCAATCATGTTGTCAAAGACAGGCGTTACTCTATCGACAGATATGTCGGAATATCCCAGGCCTAAGATACCATCAATCACTGGTATATAACGAATTATGCGTTCATTTACGGTTGGCAATTGGTTATAATTGCTCACTTCTACAAATGTTTGATTTTGAATATTCAGGCCGGCAACCTATACGAAATGTATTGAAAAATTTTATCGTCATCGCCGTACGAAAGAACAATATGATTGCTTAAAAAATATTTAAACTACAATTATAGTTGTAACTGAATTGGCTTGTTTAATAATGACTTACATTCACTATATCACTAGATAGAAATCCTTCTATATTGTAATCGGTGTATTTCATATGAAATAAAGTACTATTTGCTATATATGTGCTGGATTTTGTACTATCATATTGATTACGTTTTACTGTAAAGCATATTCAGTAATATCACAAATTAGTAACATTAGAAAGATTTTAAATGCATACACACACACATTAATAAGACAATATATATGTATATCTCCCTCTATACATGTGTGTGTGTGTTTGTGTGTGTATGTGAAGAGAAAGAGAGATATATTATTTTATTAATGTGTGTATGTATTTAAAAACTTTCTAATGTTGCTAATTTATATGTATAGAAAGAGAGACAGAGAGATGTTGTCGTATTAATTTATAATCTATATAATTTATAATTTATAATATACCATTTTCTTTTATAAATTATTATATATGTTTAGGAATCATTACACATATAAATGTTTTTGTCGATTTAATCAATCTCCATTGTTTATTAATACTTGTTTGTATTTTCAGAGAATGAACGTGATAAATTGTTCAAATTAATTTATGCATGCAAATTCTAAAATTTACCATTGTAATATCTATATCTAATATCTGCTATAATATTAAGTGTTAAATTTGTATATATTTTATTAAATTTGTAAAATGTTCCAAGATGTTTGAAAAATATAATAATAGATTATATATATATATATATATATATATATATATATATAATTACATACATGTATATATAAACAAATTACTTACAACAAACAGAGACGTTGCACTTTTTGGAGAATATCCAAAGATTTGCAGAACCAGTGTCAAATATCACTTTAAATGTTTGCGGCGGAGTTCCTATGGTAATATTGCCATAGTACGTTATGTTTTTATAATTGGATAAAAGTACTGAAGGAAGATTATCATTCAACGAACGAACTTCTCGTAATTCGGTATCAATTTTTTTCCAAGGTTGCTGAATGGATTTCCTTTTGTGCAATGAAATTATAAAATAATATAAAGAACATTCCGTGATACATATATATATATATATATATATAAACTTGCAAACATATATGTATAAAATAATTTTATTATATTTATTTGATATGCAGATATTTTCAGATCCAATATAAATCATGAAAGTCTACATAAATTTTTAACATCTCAGAAATCAACTATAAACTTACATATTTACAATATAAGTATACTGCGCACTTACATGTAATTATATCAGAAATTTATGAATACAATGATCTTTCTAAATTATATGATCCTCATATTACATATATATCTCTAAAGTAATATTTAATTTGTACCTCAGTCTTATATAAATCGTATAACTTAACGGACATTAATTTATTATTAACAAGAATTGTACATGTAATTTCACACAAAGAAATAACTTAAAAAGAAGTAACTGTGTCAAAGCAACAATTATATATTAAAAATAGGAAAATATCAAGTAAAAAAATAATACAAAAGAAGTCATTATACTAAGTTCGACCTAATGCGTGTAAATAACTCACAATTATGTAGGTGATTTGACCTCCAATCACAATATTTATGTCAACGTCGTCGTTTAAAAATAGGTAAAAACAAAGGACAAAAACGAACGTTACGAAAGAACAAAGAGAATTACTTTTCAAAGATATTCTTCTCTTATCTACTCTTTGACTAATAAATAAAAATATACGTTTCGACCAAAGAAATTTTATCCAATTTGTGTCGAAAATTTATTTGCATTTGCACTAGCTACGCATTTAATCCAAGAAATTGGATGCGATTACGAGAAAAAAATCGATCTCTATAATCTTGATCTTTATTGCCAATATATAATATATTATAAAATATATACTGACCTGTCCACATATGCGTCGGTCGTCACAAAAAGCACTGTTGCTACTACAAAAAAGTGAAACATAATTCTGAATTTATTTACTATTGAAATCTCGATTCGTGAAAATATGAACGTCGAGTTTCGTTTGACACTATATGATCAGATACACAGAAAAATAAAGTAATGTCGCTTACTAATACTCATCTTAACACTGTATCGATTTTCGAGCACTGCGTTATATATATATGTGTATAATCGCGTGTCCCTATGTTGATTGCTTGAACGGGGAGAAAACGCGCGGAACATTCGAAAAATCCTAATAGATTTCCATCGATCAATTTAATTTAAATATATAATATTTTACATGATCATGTACCTTTAATTAATTACGTTTATTTACATAAGTTTATGATTAATAATAATAAACAATTTTTTTGGAAGAACATTGTTTAGATCGACTAGGCAATCACGCATGATTAATTTTATGATAAATAATTTGCAAAAAGTAATATTTCATTAATCAACATCTTTTTATCTAATTCTGTGCGGATAAATTATATAATTATAAATCACTTTATTTGATAAAATCTTAAGATTTTTAAAAGAAATATACTTAATTTTATATACATATATATCATAATATAAATCATATTACCAAAATTTATAAGATATCATATTCAGGTATTAATAACATGGGTGCTTTGTTATTATAGCGTGGCAATTATAGAACTTATGCACCGCCCTAATATATCGCGGGGTGCGACTTAAGAATTCGAGGCGTCGCGCGAGCCGCATCCCCGATACAACCCGTTCGAGGCAAAACTATCTGCGCGGTCCACGGCGAAACTCCTCCAGCCCGAACCTCCCCCACCGAAACTTTCTCAAGACTGGTAAACTACTCGAAGATAAACGAGCCGAGCGTAAACTACAAGAGGAGACGCCACGGGTGTGCACGTGCGATGAGACGCGGCGGGTGTTTAGAGTTACCCTTTAGACAGAGGAAGTAGGGAAACAACGACGAGAAAAGACATGCCAACAGAGAAAAGAACAAAGAAAGGAACAAAATAGCTTAGAAGCTAGGAGATGAAATCAGGGAAAATCTAAAAGAATTATTTTTATAAGTAACGCTTCTCAGGTTATTTTTATTTAATTAAATATATAAAAAGATCTTAAGGATAATTCTTAATAACATTTCTTCTACTTCTCAAATCTTCATCAAGTTTTTACAAATATCCTAATAGATTTTGTTTTATTTTTTATTGTTCGTTTATAAATCACAATGTATTTAATATTTTTTTATTTACATTAAAATTTGTTCTGATAATAATAATTTAAAATTTCAGTATTTGTGCTAAGCTATTAGACAATTGCTTGTGACAGAATTTTTAAACATTTAAAACGCATTATTTTGATTGTAATTCTTTAAAAAATATTTAAATGTAATTTCGTCATCCCCTTATCTTCGACTATTTTAACTTCGTCAATTCATTCTCCAGAGATGAAACGTGACTTATTATATGACATCTTGTACGTATGTAGCTTTAGAGACATGCAAAAGATTAACAGTCTCAGAAGGGATGATCCTGCAATTCTAAACTATTCGCCTTCATAACTGTACTTTTTTAATAGTATAATCATGACAATGTCAAGTAAATCAATTCAATTCGTAAAAAAATACGAATTTATATAAAGTTATAAGGAAAGAGATGCAAAGATATTAAAGTAATTGAATCACGAAAAAACGAAGCAGAAAAGGTAGAGAAGATTATATCAAATGAGAGCAAGAAGAAAGATAGCTCATGCAGTTTATCGTCATAACCGAAATGACTTCTAAACGCTGCTCTGCGAAACACGTAACGCAAAGAATTATCGGTGGCAATAAAACTTATCCCGTTGCTTGTTTAATAACTTCGATAACTAGGTACTTGGTTTCACGCGTATACGATGCCTTTCTTTTACGCCTTTCTTTCGCCTTCTGCGACGAATGACGCTTCCGCTTTGCGCTAAACTTCTCGAATCGCACTTCGATCGTGAGAATCATGAAGCTTTATGACTGATATAATGCAAGCTCTTCTCATTTCTGGCGATCCCGCCACACAAGATATAAAAAACGTTCCCCTCTTCGAGAATATTAAAAATTTCTTTTATCATTTTTAAAAATTTTTGGTTTATTATTACGCGATAAAAAATAACGAATACAAATGTAGGCTTGATAAAAAATATATTTCATAATTGTTTTAACGTTTATAAAATATTCTTCACTATTATAAGTCATGATATTAGTATTGTTAGGGAGAAAACAGAATATAAGAGAATATCGGTTATTCATATGCATTGAACTGCATTTCCGCATTTCTTGTCGGCATACGAAGCAACTAAAGTCTATAGAACAAAAGAGCACTCATATACCTCTTTAAAACCGTAATACCGTATATATAGACACGAAGGCATGAAAAAGAAGCGATATGCTGCCACGTGGAGGCAAAGAGGCAAACATCGAGGCGAACATGTCGACGTCTTTTTTTCACGCGTACCATATGCCCACATTATATCGTTATACCACAGCTTTTTTTATACACGCGTGAATTCTTTATTTGAGCATCTTTTATTGTACTCTATATGCAATAAAACTTCAGCTAAGATCCAATACACTGCGAGTGCACTCGGTCCCTTTGCGAATAAAACTACAAACGAATTGTCGACAACGACGTCACCGCGGTTAGTCGCCTGGGGAAAAGTTTCAATCAATGCTCGCGTAAAGTCTACTATTTCTTCTTTTAAAAGTACAGCTCTGCAAAACGCACGACTGCGAGAAAGAAAATGTATCAAAAGACTAAGCTTCGCGGAAAGATGCGACTAAGTTGCTTCTTAAAATGCGGAACTGAAAATCGCGTAGAATCATCATTGGAGTATACGATATCTTTATTCAATTCATGCTCGAAAGCAGAGAATGTGTGAGAAGGAAGTGAGAGAAATAGTAATTAAGAACAAAAATATTTACTGTTTTAATAAGATCAAATTATATGAAACAATTGCATTAAATTTTAAGCCCCTGATAAATTTTTGCGATAAATAAAATTTTAAAAAAATAAAAAATGGAACAAATAAATTTTATTTTTAATCATAAATCTTTTTATCTTAAATTTTAAATTTTTCAAATTTATTATAAACTTGAATTTATTGTAATTGTTTCATCAAGTTTCAATCTATTAATATAATAAATGCTTTCGTTCTTAGGATTGCTAAAGATACGCTCTATCTTTATAATTATCTAGAGTGAGACATGTTTAAACAAATTTTTTTATTTAAATTGATTGTATAATTATGTCCTAAAACAATTCCTTCACCATTCCTCCTGAATATCCTGTATAATGTTAAAAATAATAAGACTTGATTCTTGATTCGTTTTACGTAATAATATTATTGCAAATAACAAATATGATACAAAGCGCTTGAAAAAGTGAATATAATCATAAACGTTCATTAAAGTGAACGCCTGACATTAATAATTAATTCTATCTCATATACGCGCGTCACTTTTCTGCATCGCTACCAAAATTATCGCTTCATCGCTTTTTTTTCAACGTTTTTATATAATGAAATTTAATGTTCAAAGTATGCACTCAACACATTTCTTTTTTATTTTTCTTCTTTTTTCAAATTTACTTTTCTCGTGATCTTTGACGATAACAAATACGCTCTCGCGTAGAAGCATTAACGCGCTCGCGCGGCATCGAAATCACCGAGTATTAATATCCGTAAAATAATATAAAAATACACGACGACGCGACGCCCGCGGCTCGTTTAAAAATCTGTTCGGCCGGGAAGAGCAAAGCAGGTGTATATTTTACGGATGCCGGTCGCCCGAAGGTAAATTACGTGTAAAGGGAATCGCGGTGGAAGTGAAACCTAATCGGCCGGCAGCAAGATTCCGCTCTGCCGGAATTGGATCCACGAAACTCGACGGAGTCAATTTACCCGGCCGGTTTCGCGTGGAACCGAACGTCCCTTTCGCAACATCGACCAAGGGTCTCTTGCCCATATTCGTACTCGCGCTGGTAAATCGTAAGGATAAAGGATTTCCCGCCGCTAATTACATTTCTCGCATTGTCTCGGAACTCCGTGCATATTAGCGGTCATTTATCTTGTTATGGCGTGTATTAAGACCAATTTATACTCACATGTGAATCAATATTTGAAGCTTGGATGAGATATACATGTCTTCTCTTTTATAATGTTTTAAGAAAATATAAATATATTTTTAATTGTTGTTTAATGTATGTGCATTGTCTTTATGATATCATTTTTTTTTTCATTTTAATCTTATAAAATATACATAATCATACGTTCTTATCAAATATATAATAATTTATAATCGATATATTGTAGAAAGAAATTATCAGAATAAATATGCAACTATACTCCACTATTAATTCACTATTTTCGATTAATCTTATTGCTTTCTGATACGATATGAATAAAATTATATCCTTATATATACGAGCGTATTAATTATTGATTATTTATTACCATGTAACACGATAGTAAATGAGTAAATTATATTATATGTCTTCATGAGAGAGTTCGACCTGTTCTATCTACGAGAAGAGCACGATGCTACAGGGGTGAACGCATTGAGAGACTTCGCAAGGCTAATTACGTTGCAAATACCTCCTCTCCGAAAGGGAACGCAATATGGCAGCGAGACGGGTGAATTCCTCTGACGAATACTTTGAAGCTAATTACTGATAAATATTTGCAATCTGCTTGTGCAGGTTGCGGGTATCCAGTTTTAATTAATTACTTGTTAGGCAACATAGTCGTAGAGCGCTAAGATAAACTTTACTTTATAATGCTGGCTGTTGCATAAGCTTGAGACGTTGCACATCGCATGTCTAATAGACAGGCGTGAGAAATATTCAGAATATCGCCTATATTGCGTATAGACAACAATCTTGCTCTGATGAATGTAATCCTACATCTAAACCTTGCTAATAAACTATGTATTAGCTTTGTTAATTGACAGTTTATTGGAGAACATCAGCTACTTTATAAAGGACAGATCCATCGCAAACTTAAAATAGTATATAATAAAAGAGATAACAATTCAAAATATAAAATTTAAAAGAAATAATGATAGCGTAAATTAAAAATTTATTAATAATAGTGATAATGTAAAATATAAGTTTATTTATTACGATATGTTTTT